TGTGGTGAAGCATGCATTTTTGATGTGCCACAAAAAGGAAATGCCACTGTTGCATCTCTCTCACCCCGCAACCGGCTTGCTTGTGTGAACTTCGGCAGCCACTAAAAGAAAAAGAGGCCTTGTCATTAAAGGTTAGAATTGCCTCGGCAACACGGAGCTCCACAGATATCATGTGAGTTGCTCTAGATATTAAATTCTAGCCTGAATAGTGTGTGTGTGTGTGGGGGGGGGGGGGGGTTCAGGCTCGCTAGCACTGCTTGTTAGGAAAGCTGGTGGAGTGGAAATGTGACTGTGTGCAGCAGCACAATGTTCCACTCAAAGAAGAATTCACTCCACTGACTCTTTGAACATCGCCATTCACAGCAGACATGTGAAGCATCATCAGGACACTCTGCAGGGAAATGTGTAATGACCATCTAAGTGTCAACCGAGCCTACAAATGATAGTCTTTTCGTGTCTCTGAACTATTCCCTTCGTTATTTCAGACCAAGTTGCAGTTCATTGTGTTGTGGATGCTAATTCATGCCCGTCAAATTAGCTGTGAATATGATTTTCAATTACGGCGGGAGAATGGCGAACAAAAAGATGTGACTCCTTGTTAATAACAGCAGCTCTATGGAACTAGTTTGCAGCGGCTGGTGTGTTTGGATTTGTTTGAATGATAAATCCATTCTTTGTGCACAGGTAGGACACCCTTCGGAAGGCTGTGACTGATATTGAGATCTGACGCTATAGAACTATACGACATGGCAAACACCATACCTTTGCGGCTCATTTGTTTATTTATATACTTACTTCAAGTCCTTTGTGCAGACAGCATTTTATTGCAGTGGCCGCTCGGGTTTCTTTGAAGAATGCATAAAGATTTTTTGGGACTCATCCTTCTCCAGCAGAGCAAGCAACCTGAACCATAAAACCCTTTTTTATTAGTTTCTGTACCCCACCTTTTTATCCCAGTCGCAGCAGAGTACTCTATTAACCTGTGAGCTTATTGAGAAGCGTGCGGGAGGAGACGGAGAGGGCGTATGATGGAGCGTATTAAACGGGTTAGGTAAAGGTGGCGCAGACCAGAAGGTACACAGTGAATCTGTTTACTGGCCTGCAGGGTTTGTGGCTGTGCACTAAAGCACTTCCCATTTCACCGCGTGATCTAGAGCCGTGCTGACAACACCGAGCACACCACCCCCGATCCGTGCCCCGCTGCCCTGTGCACACACGGGACTCGCGCACCGAAGTGCACATGAGCCGTTTTTATGAACGCTCTGCAAATATGTGGACACACAGAGACCAGGGGGGTGGGGTGGGGTGGTTTTACCATCCCTTTTCACCTTGTTTGTGTCTGCGGCCTCCAGACGCAGTGACACAACCCATAAACTGTGCCTGCGCTCTCCGGCTAGCATCCTGTTATCAATATGTACCCGCCGTCGGCATGCACAGCAGCAGCTCCGCTGCGTTGTCATTGGCTGACGGACAAAGGAGGCTGCCCCGCAGCGGTTAGGAGTTCAGAGGTCAGACAGGAAGCGGGTCCTCCCACAGTGATAGTTGAGGCGTATGCTTGATGGGCCGGCCTAATCCCGAGGACCAGCACTTCCTAATGACCCGGCATCTCCAGGCAGTCTTGGGAGCCCGTCCTCTTGAGATTTATGACCCACGTTGTGGTCACCACTGGGACGACACACAGCAGCACTCCAGACTAACAAAACAAAGTCTCGGCCTTCCACTTTGGTTCCACTTTTTCTTCTCATTAACTCGGCTTATGCACGTCTTCAGGGCTTTTCTTACCCTCTGAAATAAATAGTCTGGATAACTGCAGTATTTTGTCCAACTTGATATGATGCTTGAAGTGGTTTGACACGCTGCTTTATGACAGGCATGTCTTCCAACCGCTCGCACATCCGCAGTCCTCTGTGTTTTGGTTTCCCTCTTTGAATGACAGACCTCCCCCGCCAGCTGGAATGGAGAGTTTTTTCCTCTGACGCAGGAAGAATCACTTCTGTGCCGGTTGGCCGTCGGCTAAAGTCTTTGCAGTGTGTTCAAGTGCTTCCTTTTTGGCCAAGAAACAGGCGTGCGGAAACGCAGGAGATATTGGGTGGGCTCTGTCCTTGAAGGAGAAATTGATGAATTGACTCATGGAATTCTCATGGGGGGGTGGAACATGGGAAAGAGGAAGGCAAAGTCAAAAGGCTATTAAACATACGCTCAAAAAGACAACTCCACTTGCACGCACTCCGCTGCTGTAGAGGGAACCAATAACGGCCGTCTGATAATACTAATTATACTGCCGGCCTAAAGGAAGAAATGTGTTGATCCACCACAAGATAGCCAGACCTAAGCCCATGGCAGGCTCCAGCTGAGGTAGTTTATAATTAATACACACTCTATAAAATATGCAATATGGGCTGGATGTGGCCGAATATGGATTTCTGTTTTGATTTTCACTCAGGATAATTGACGCACTTCTCAGGCGAGTCTCATTGCGCAAGGCCAAGGCTAACAGGCTTTGCTGCAGAGCGTGTTGCTGCTGCTGCTGCAAGTTGGCCTCCCTGCCAGCTCCTTACTTGTCTTAAGCTCAAAGACGGATCGTCAAAGCGAGTCCCCGTCCTTTTTGGGGATTTTAATGCCTCCCTTGATATGCATTGCAGTGGGCTGAGCTCACTGCCGCTGTAGGTTACAGATATTTGCGTGTGCTTAAGCAGCACAGTGTGCTGTAAGATAAACTGCCGAGACACGTTTCATGACACTCTGATCGTTAAGAGAGAGGATGCAGGGAGAGCGGAAATGAAAAGGCATAAAGCAGCGTTTTTACTCTGCTCCTCTTCCATATTTATTAAACCCACAGCAGCGACGAGATGGATGTCGAACGCTCTTCATCTCCCAGTGGGCTGTTGCCGTGATCACACCAGGTTCCATGTTGTTGGAAAGCATAAAATATCTCAAGGCCCCGAGTACCCCGTTCACTGCCACAACTACCCCAGCATACACACTCATGCATAAACACACACACACACCAGAGTTATGTCAGACTGATTAGCAACCACATCTTCAATCTCTGATTAGGTGTGGAGTAAATGAAGCGCCCCCCTCAGGTATGCATTTCCATAATGTCAGGTAATTAAGCCCCAGTGTTTTAATAGCTCAGGAATAGGAAGACTCCTCAGGAGACGAGACAATGATGGTAGACTTTGCTGAAGAAGAGCATACTCTTGCTGGAACTGGAAACCGGAACTTTTCTTTCCATTGTGCTGATAATAGATGAGCAACAACAATGAGGATAAGAAAAAGCTAAGCATATACGTCATATTGCTTCTAAGCATTTGCAATTATACATCTGGTGATGAAGGCTATCCTTTTTTCATTTTTTGGAATATGAACAGAAACGGTTGTGTTCATGGAAACAAATGTTTGAGTTGCGTGCTTGTTGTTGATAGTTGATGGATTCAAAAGCTGGGAAAGCACATAAAAACCTGGAGAGGTGCTATTGTAAACATGACAGTTGATTGTTGGTACATCCCTGTTTGAGTTGCTCTTGTGTGTGTGTGTGTGTTCATACTGTATGCACGCACACACGCGTAACAAAAGCCCTTTGATGGAACACATTCTGCAGTGGGAGAGCTTTCTTTGTCCTTGTGCCTACTCGTATGTGTGGTGCTCAAACGAGAACAATGCCAAGCCATAATGGTGCCACAGAAAGGTGTGGAAGCTGAGTGAACTCCAGAAGTCCCCTTTATACATGTAATCAGGAAAAAAAAGAGTAAAAAGACAGCGAGGTTGTCACTGTGGAGCGCTCCCTTATAACGGTTGTTTATCATAGGTTGCTTTGACAGAAATGATATGCTTTTAATGGGGTGGTGTTCACTGCTCATGATGGCGAATGCTGTAGCTGCATCTGAAGATCATTAAAGGCACGTTGCCGTGTTTGATTCTCGCGATGCCCGCTGCATGAACTGCACTTCAAACGCATAGGCTTCCTACTTTCAGTAACACCCAAATTAACAGATGTACTTTAATTCCCCTCAAATCTTTCTCCTCTCACGTGAAGCGGATGTCTTAAACTGACAGGTTTTAATGGTGCAATCTCCACAGAAATAGCTGACGTTACCTTCTTTTGAACCAGTGAACCGCCGTTAACGTTGGAGATTCACGTTGACGACACAGGGGGGAGCGATACCGGTGGGGCTAAACTGCCTTTATGCAGACAACAGAACAGCAGCTTCGCTGTGAGGATGTTCTATATGTCGCGTGAGAATCTCTAAAGTCAAGCGCTGCCGTCAACGTATGTCCATCAATTTGCGCAACAAGTATAAAAAAACAAACCCTATAAATAAAAACATTTAGATTTTCTTTTTTCTTGTTGAGCGCCATCATAATGTCAGGGCACTGTCAATTAACCGTTTAATTAACCACATTGCTTTTATTGAGCATGAACTCTGTCATGTTTCCAAGAAGGAAATTTGCCAAGTAGAGTACATTGGAATTAGCGGCGGCCAAAAATACACTTTTTGTGGCCAAATTTAGTGTTCAAAGAAAAACACTGGGACAAAAGAATGATCCCTTCTCTCTGTTGGAGATGAGATAAACAAATTATTGGACAAGATTCTTGTTACTTTTGGGTGTCTTTTGTCGCATGCAGCCGTTAAAATGAGAAATCTTGTATTTCCAGGTACGTGTGATAACAGGTTTGGTGTAAAAAATGAAAAAAGTGTATGGTATTCATTCAAGGCTCCTCTTGACACTTCATACTAACTGTGGTTCCTTTGAGTGCTGTGAGAATACAACGGAGGTTTCATGAATATTTCTATTCCGTTGTCAATCTCAGGAAATCTGTCGGTCGTACCTACAGTATGTTCAACGCTTGGATCGAAATGTTGCACATCTGGAAAAACAACAACACAGGAGTAGTTAAACAATCCAACCTTGATTGTCCAAATATTGCTGACTCTTTAGAATGCTCCATATTTGCTTACTTAAGTTTACTGAGTCCTTTTTTTCTCTGTTTTCAGCAAACTCGAGTCTTCTGGGAGGAGGAGGAGGTGAGTAAACACCTTTTGGTTTGCCTTTTTTTTATCATCTCATTGCCTGTTCCCACGGTATTAAAGCAATTAAAGTTGCACTCATCAGATCTCACGCGGCGCATCTGCATCCTTCTGCGGCATCATCGCATACTTGAGTGTGTATTTCGCTCGGAGTGTCCGTGTTAAATGTAACCGATGTGAGACCAAAACATTAGAGCGCGGTGCCGCCTTGCACCGTACCACACTGGGAGATGGTCATTAATGTAGTGGCCTGCCGAAGAACATTATCATCAAAGCAGGGGAGGAAATATGAGGCAGCCAACCGTGGTTTGGGAATAATGGGTTGGGAGCTCCGGTAGGAAGCGACTGCCCAATCCGACTGTTGCCAGAAATTTGACTTTTACAGTGACATGATTGAAATAATCATTCTGGGCTGAAAATGCACCCAGTTAGACATGGAATGTTAATTGTTTTTCTAAAGGGGAATTTTGGAGGAAATGCTGGCATAGTGAAATAAGGTCACCGCTTCAACTCTGTCTGTTTATCCATTTGTCACTTTGAATGTGTCACTGTCTCATGGATCTTTGCACAGGCGGCTCGTTACAGTTCATGCGACCTGTAATCAGATCTGTGACATGTTCTTATGTCATGTGAGTCTCTCCCAGAATTACTGTTATCAGGAGTTCAGCATAGCTTTCTTTAATGATGCTAGTCAAACACATGCACAACGTTTTCTACAGTGCCTCTGCATTTGTCCTGTATTTTTAGATCCTTGTAATCATTAAACTCCAAAATACATTTTGACACGCAAGACATTGACATGTCTGACTGTGCGTGTTTTTAACCTTTAAAAAGTTCTAGGCATAAAATATGAGTAATCTGAGGCCAAACAGCGGTTACGCAGCAGAGGTGATACTGCGTGCACATGGCATTAGAGTGCACCCAGAGCCTGCTCAAGACGTATTCACCTCTAATCGTGCCACCTGGAGTGGCCCTCATCCTGTGAGATCCACGTTAAGATTGCGAACCTTCCAGCCGTCGTTGCCCAGCATTGCAGGTTCCCAATCTGTATCAGCGACATGGAGAGGCCCTCAGCGCCCAGACATCGAACAAAAAAAAAAATCCCTGATTGACATCGTAGGTCACCAACTTGCGTCTCCAAATCCAAGCCGTGCTCGTTAAAGCAGGCATCCTGTCCTCCTGATTGGCGTCCGTCTGCGGCAGTGGACTCTCAGTATTCATCTGTGCCACGTACAGAGAACACAAGAGGCAATTTACTCTGCTGTTATGTTTTCATTATTGTTATCTGGTGGCAAATCACCCCTTCGCAGTTCTGAGAATCTTCAAAGACGCAGCCCGGTTGATTGATCCAGGTCATTCCTCAACTGATTATGGGCGTTAAGGTGTAACAGATTGCCCCGCATCAACGCAGCGTGCAAAACAAAAAAAAATGGAGTTTTGAGAGTGTCAACAATGGAACGGGAGATGTTTTGTGTCATTTATTGTCGTACTTTGCAGGAAAACATTTTCGGGTTGATTGTGACCGGCAGCTGTGCTTATTAACTCCAGAGGAATTCTAATTGTGGCGAGTGCCTTTTTTTGTTGAGAGCAAAGCCTTTTATTCTTAGATGACTTCCGGCAATGCCATTCCTGCCAAGTTACCAGCAGATACAAGGTCAATCCACTGTTAAAGGCTAAGACTCGCTCTTTCTCCTGCTAATAAAGACCACGACACGTCCATGCCGCTTTATTATCTGCGCATTCCTTTGCAGCTTGCTGCTATTTTGGCTGCGCTAAAAAGAGAGAAGGCAATTATAACCAGAGAGGGCTTAGCATTATCCGTCTATCTAGCTGAAAATGTTTCTTTTCCTCCCGAAACAAAGCTCTAAGCTTTTTGTCTTTTATCTGCACACCACCAAGAGGGGCTTTATCTTCCAGAGTCTTTATCACTCGACGGTGGTGGCTGAACCTGAAAAAACGGTCCTTTCTGTTCTAACCCCGGCCCTCCCTCTACACCACATCTGTGGTTTGGCATGTGAAGACCTCCCGCTTGTCGCGAGGATAGATGTGAAGAGGAGATGTGCTCTCACAGAGGGCCTGCCTTATCTCCCAGCTGTCTTCTCGGGGCTCTGCAGAGGGGCAGCTCCACAACAGGATGATCCATCATCTTGGCCTCACGCACCTGAGCCGGGTTTAGCTTTGCACAGTTCTGGAGACGGTGCTCCCGCCAGTCGGTGAAGACTCAACAAATTCTTTACTTTATGGAGGAATAGTTTGGTCGGTTCACCACAAACCGCTTTCTTTCTCCTGGCCCAACATGGTTTTGAGGAATTTTAAGGTATTTCTTTGGAAAAAGGCTTCTGGATATTATTAAGTCAAGATTGATGGTCCCAGAAAAACAGATGTATATCGGGAGGAGATGTGTCCCTGCTTGCAGCGAGAAGGGTGGAATTAAGTGCAATTAAGCCCTCTGTGAGATTTTTTCGCTACCCAAAAATAGTTATTATATAGTTAATTATATTCCTTGCATTACTTAGGGGAGACGGAAAAAGTCTAAAAAACGTTCTCATGCCCCGATGCTCCATTAAATCCTTAGAAATCACTGATGGGAATTCTCTCTGGGCTGTATGTGTTCAGTATTATCTACACAATGGGGTTAACCAAAATAGCACTGTTATCTACGTTAGACATGTTGGTCTCTGTGGGATTTCATACATACAAAGAGGGAAATAACAATGATCTCTGATAATGGCATGCTAAATGAGGCCTGTGTGAATAGAGGCTAATTATGAATTTTAGCAGGTTGCTTGTGTGATGTGTGTCACAGCACGGCTGGATGCTGGCACGACCTCAAGAGAGTAGACCTAATGTAAACATCATGTTGTCTATCTCACCCCCCCCCCACCCCCACTCTCTCCACACACATACACACACACACACACACGATTCTTCACCTTCTCACACACCCACTGACACATGCACGCTGAGCCATGTGATTGTGATGATCTCATGAAGGCCTGTGTAGCCAGAAGGAGGGAGCTCCATTTGCCTTTGATGTCTCCATCCAGCAGGGGAATGGAATGATTATTAGCATTCCAACCAGAACCGTTACCCATTTAGCACTGGGCTTTAACTGTACCAGCCCCAAAAAATCGTTCTTCTCAGTCGGGCCTTCTCGTTCTGCTCATCGGGACTCGTGCGGTGCTTTTTAGTACCTCGTGGCCTGATTCGGCCACGGGGCTCCCGACGCTCAGCCTGAACTCGCCAGCCTTTGTCATTGCTTGCATAACACAGGCTGGAGTGCTGCGTGCCCCCCCGCCTCCCCCCAGCTCTCCTCCCTCACCGCGGTCCTAAACTGTGGTGTGAGTCACAGCAAGTACCCATCACATTCTAATGTATGAGATGAATTATGCTCGCTGTGATTGTGTCTGGCCACGGTGACGCTCATATGCTTCTTTTCCCTCCTCCGTGGCTCAAAATGGCAACGCATGCTGACTCGCGGTGACGGGACGATGCTAAGCGACCCTGCTTATCCCCCCCCCCCCCGCCACATACCAAGGTCTGTAAACCACTGACGGAACAGACATAAGGAGTATAATGCCTCCGGATGAAATGTGAAACTGCTTTTAGTGCATTTTTCTGACTGCAGAAGCACATCATCAATATGATGGCTTCCTGAAATTGGCGTTACAATTCCATCAGGACAATAACCGCAGTAATGGCTCCTTCAAAAGCGTGCTCCAGCATGCAAAGAGAGTAAAGAAATATGTGTCCAGTTTGGGACATGTTTGGGTAATCCGTTATCAAGATTCTTAAGTGCTCCGGCCTGCTTATCTCTATCTGCATTCGCTATGCAAAGAGCTCTGTTTTCTTTTCCTGTCACCTCCAGGTGAACCATTATCCTCTGTCTGGGTCCTGCCCCCGGCTTGTTTATTGAGCAAATTGGCAGGGACAGGCCACGGTGTTCTGCGCTGGGGGAGGGGTACAGGTCGCGATAGAGGAGGGCGTCGTGTGATGGCTTGGGTTTAGACGGCCTTATGTCCCCGCAACAACCATATCAGCTCACAGGAAGCCCCGGAACGCCCCTATATGATTAATCACTCAAAGATGACATGTTATTCTCATAACATGGATTTCACACTACGCCTGACTGATGGTCCTCAGCTCACAGATGGTAGTACACCCCATTAGCATAACTTATGACAGAGATAAGGTATTTCCCCGCGGAGTAGCCTAAATAATGTAAAATGATGAATTGAATGCAGAGATTCCTCAGTCAGCCCGGTACCGCCGGGGATTCACTTATCTGCTCATATTTAGCGGGCAGTTAGTTACACCCTGATCTTGGTCCACCTAGTATTTGTGCTGTAATGTTCCATGTGCTTTTTAAAAGTGTGTTAGCGACGGCGCGGTTATAAATGTGCGTCTTTTCTCCTCTGAGGGATCGGCCCTGCTGCTGGGAACTGTTTACGACGCAGCATAAGGACATTTGTATCTTCTTTCTCTGTCGGTGTGATTTAAGTACGTACACTTTATCTCCCTCGTTTCTGTAGCACGGGGCTTTGCATCTGTGCTCTTTGCGCTTTCTTTTCCGTAGCGCCATTCCAATATGGGAGTGAGCCACTGACATTTAAATAAAAAACAAATAAATACAAAGACCTTATTTCAATTAGCCTCACATTCATATGCAGAGAAGTCATTCTATAAATTGCACTGACTTATTAAAATTCCAAAACAGCTTTCCGCTATTCACACCCCAAGTGCAATGCACTTCTAAGTTATGCATTAACACTGTACGGTACCACTCAAGGGTTGCCTTGCCTTTATTAGGTAGTCTGTATAAGAACGAAAAAGACCAAATCCCATCTATTTATTGTTTGAAACAACACAGTTTATTATGTCTGTGTCGGAGGGTTTTGCCTTGTTGACAGTTGCCGTGCTACATATTGCAATACCTACAGTCATGTCCAGTACACTGCCATCCAAGTGGAAACATCAGTTATTATATTGAAAATGAT